TGTGTGTACTGTCAAAGGGCATTTGAGACAAATAATGTGCGTTGTTACAGGTTACGAATGCGCGCAGTTGGAACTCCGAAAAGGCTTATTCGCCCACCCGCCGAGCCATTTGTAATTTTGCAGATTGTCTCGGGCCATCTGTGTTGGTTCCCGGGTTTTTGACACATTACAAAAATAAAGTACAGGAAAATACAGTTCTTACCTGACTTTTCTGGAAAATGACAATTTCTGCCTCTTTGAGGATTTAAAAACAATGGATATTTAAAATATGCATGTAGGTATGCTGATTGTATATCGAGTTTAAAAAAAATTGTGTACATGTGCACTTTGCTTTGTCTATAAATTAACTTAGGTTTTGCCCTTCGCCGACGTTTTTTAAACACTGTATACCCAGTGTGTTACCTCCCGAGTGAAAGTTGGAAAAAAATCACTCGGGTGGGACTCGAACCCACGACCTCCTACTTTCTAGTGCAGATGTCTTACCACTCGACCACCGAGCTAACGGGATCGGTTGGCCGGTTCGAATCTGATGTACACAGCAGCGGGTATCGCATAAACTATTATGGGCAAAACCTAATTTGATTTATATAACCCCGACGCAAATTTCCATTTTATAATTGTCTATAAATTGTCGAAGTTTCTTTCCGATTTTTTAAAGCATCAACTCCAGAAAGCTAAGTTTTCTGCACAATGCCTTCATGATTCGCCTTCGTAAACTGCTTTTTGTTTTCAAGTAAACTTACAGAATGTTACACTGACTTGAAATGAAATAAACCATGCATTCAAGCCACACAAATCACTTATGTAGACTTGACTCTAGTCCAGCACTGCATCGCAATGACCAAGAATGCACATCTGCTGTACGACTGAAGCGCCTCAGAAAGCAGATTCAGACTTGAACCAAGTCAACACAAAACTCAACTGAAATGACCAGACAAAAGACTCATTTGGTTTATGTTGCATAATATAATAATGGAGTCACTTTCTTTGTTTTAATATATTTCATGCTCTAGACCTCACATGTACATGAGTGTGTAAACAATAAGCATTCTTTGATTACTTTCATACAATATTTCACAATTTGTTAATTTTTACCTCTATTCAACAATCCTATACATTACATAAAAATCATGATAATCTTACACTATTATTTTTAAACTCTGGCAAATAAATAAGCAGCAGAAACGAACACAAAGTCAAACCTTGAAAAGAAAAAACGCTCAAACCTCAAGGAAAACAAAAGACATAAATTTAAGCTCGAAACTTAACCATCTGTCAGGTATTGAAAAAGACAAAAGGTGTCTACTGAAAATTCAAAGGTCACTGTTCATGCTGGGTGCATGGGAGGGTGCAGTGGACCGATCCAGTAAGCCACGCCCATTGCGCGCCCGTGGGCAAAAAACACGTGCACAAGGGCGGATCCAGGGGGGGGGGGGGCTACCGGGGGTCGGCCATGGCTCCCCAAAACGAACCCAATTTTTAATTTTTTTTTAATAACGTCGCAATAAAGGCAGGTACTGCGTACACCACCAATTTCCTAAAAAAAAAAAGGTTAAAGTTGTCAGAAATTGCCTCAGAATTCGGGCCGGAACCCCTCGCCGTAATTTTGTGAACCCACTTTTTGGTGGACCAAATTTTTGTTGGGCCCTCCAAAAATTGTGTTCTGGATCCGCCCTTGCACGTACGTGCACCTCTCCAATGTCACACTGCGTGTTACAGCCAAGTGCGTCATACGCACGCACGTGGGACTTCAATCACGGCTGTGATTGGTTCAAACACCATTTAGGGGCAAGGCTTAATGGATCAGTCAATCCCGGTTCTTATGCACTGCGTCATACACGCGCATGCCCCACTGATTACTAACACCCATTGGCTAAAACACGCCACTGTGCGCTATATCCGGTTCCAATGGTTCCAAAGCTATACCGTGTGCAGTGGGCGTGGTTTAAGTTGAAATGACGTCACACTTGCGGATTACCTATTAGAACATGCTACTTAAAATGGACCGATCCAGTAAGCTCCGCCTAGTGCGCGTGCGCACGTGGGCAAATTAACACGTGCTCCTCTCCAACGCCACGCTGCATTTTCCTTCCGCGCGCATCATACGCGCGTGCACGCGCACGAATGTCGGACTTTAGTGCACGCACGTCGGACATAAATCACGGCTGTGATTGGTCAGAGCACCATGGGGCGGTGCTTACTTGATCGGTCCATTATCCCGAAGTGTTGACGCTATTAGTAAGTACTAGACTTGTGATTTTGCTCTTGGCTCTATGGAAAAATAAATGTAGCCAAACTAAAGCATTCAGTTTAACACCTTTACGCAATTTTTTTAAGCACACATCGCTCACGCCAAAACAGGTAACCAAAATATGTTACATATTCCATTATACTGGTACCCTGAATGATTTCGCTCAAGGCAAAAATGTGCTCAGCAGCTTTCTCAATTCTTTTCATAGCAGATGAAATTTGGGAAGCAAAACGCACCATCTTTTCTTGCACCAGTTTCAGTCTCTGTGACAAGAGGAACCAATGATCAACGCTCTAGCGCAGCTAAAATAATTTTTTTTCTAATGTTTCATGCACAAACATTATTTTTTATCAGCACTCAAACAAACCAACCAAGACAATCACAGATACACCCCACGAAAAAAGTGACATATTGTAAGTATATATCTTACAAGTTTGACAGAGTAACAAAAAGAAACAAAACAAACAAATAAACAAAAACAAAAACACCAAAAAACAAAATTGCCAAAAAAAAAATAAACAAAAAAAAAAACAACACAAAAAACAAAATTGCAAAATAAAAGGCTGACAGAATTACCATAGTAAAAAATCACAGTAGTTCAAGAAATCAAGGCTTCAAAGCCAAAAGACTCTTCCCAATCTAGGTCAAATGCCACTCTGAGCTGACCTGGGTCAAAGGTCAGTCTGAAATGTGACCTCTCTAAACTAGGTCGAAAGTCGTAACCGAGCTCAGCCTACATGCAACACTACAGTCATTTTTAAACAGTTACATAAAAACATCAACCAGTTCAATTGTTAAAATTCAAAAACATTTTTTGGGGGTTATTTCATGATTATTTTTAAAGTTAAGAATGGGTGAGAAAAGGGGGTCCGCTCATAAGTCCGACGCCTCATAATAGGTCCGACGCCTCATAAGTCTGACAAAATCACATCCCCTAACCAAATAAAGGCCCATAAGTCCGACGCCTCATAGCTCCGACGCCTTGTAGGTCTGACAAATTAAACGCCTCGTTTTTCCGACGTCGGACTTATGAGGCGTCGGACTTATGAGGCGTCTACCTATGAGGGGGAATAAATAAATGTTATGCCTCATAAGTCCGACGCCTCATAAGTCCGGACTTATGAGGCGTCGGACCTATGAGGCGTCGGACTTACGATACGGCCCCGAGAAAAGATAAGGCTGATGAGTTGGGTAGAGGTTCTTTGGGAAGAAATGCAAAAATCAGCAATCATCACAACAATATAAATGTTTCTTTCTTATATCAATCATCTCACAAACAATGATTATAGTATCTATTGGCAATAGTGAATGATGACAACACTTATCGGGTCAACTCTCCAAAGGGAAGTGGGAAATTTTGACTCATTTCCTTGAAGCTAGCGGAACCAGTCAGACTATAGGACTGGATTCTTGATCTGACTGGTATCTACTGGATTAAATTTGTGCGTACAATGTACATGTAACAGGCTATCAATTTTTAGGGATTGAGGGTGTGTGATAATTTTCCGAGTACAATCGGTTGAAATAGTTTAACTGATGCAAATTGGTAACTTTACTTTCAAATTGCATTCCCGTGCTCTTTTCGAGTTTCATTCCGAAAAAAATAGATTCCTTTTTCAAATTGCTATTTTTTCTAGTAATACAAAAGTAGTTCACTTTTGAATGAGACATCCACCGGAAAAAAAAATGGCCCATGTCTAGTTATTGAATTGTTACTTTATTGGTTTCAACTTATTGGCTGCCAAACATTAATTCCCTTCTCGCAGGGTAGGCTGGTTCCCGCCCCTCAATCAGTATCGATAACTTGTGCGGACTGGGAGCCAAACCAGATCTGTTTGTGCCCAAAACGAAAACTTTTTTTTTTTCAGAGGGTTGCAGACCTCCAAAAAGGGCGGGGGGGGGGGGGATTTTTTGGGGGGGATGGAGATAAAACATACCAGCTGAAAATGTATTAATAGAAAAAAAAAATGAAATTGTTCAAGAGGATGGGGAATGGAACTTTAAATACAAGATTGTAAAAATGTTGCCTTCGAATCATCCCAACATGTAAAATTTACGTTAACACCTTCTCATCCCCCAAAATGGTGTCCCTGCAACGCCATAATTTGATAAAATAGCCGCCTATATTGAGTTGAACATCTTGAACATGTCATGCAGTTTAAGGCAGATGAATCAGTCTAAAGCTGGGGCAGGGCATGCATTTCTGACAGCAGTTTTTACTACTGGCGGAAATTTTGCAAGATTTTTTTTTAAAAAGCTTGTTTATATGCCTATACAGATTCACAGCAACAGCAACAGCAAATGTCAAGGCCGTGTTTAAAGAGTTGAAATGTAAGTGTACCAGATTTGACTTTAAGTGAGGTTCGATGCAAAGTTATTCACAGTTGTGATTGGTTTTATCGCACACCCAGTCAACAAGCAGACTGTCTACGCACTGCATCTTCTTAACACCACATTGTCCACATATGCGAAAGAAACAGCGAAAAGAAAGTGAAATTAAAGCCGAGGCCTATGTAATTTTAACCTCTCCAACTTTGTACACGTCAATTTACATGTAGTTTCAAGCTGAGACCGTTCTGCTTTTAATTTGTTATCTACTTTGAGGTAAAGATTGTGGGCCACTTCCTGGCCAGGCACAATTTGTCTACACTTAAGATATATTCATGTTTCTGGCCTCACACATTTGTGCAAATATACATTTAGGCCCAAGACCACATGTACCAGAACCTCTTCTCATTAACCTAATCTGTGTAAAGAACCTCAAGTTTGTCACATGTTTTACACATCAGTGCCTCACACAACTGACTAAAAACCTCACGTACAGTGTGTACCTCTGCCAAATGCACGACACAGATATCCCTGTCGTTAGCCTTACTAACACATCTGTGCACAGAACCTCAAGTTTGTTACATGTTTTATACATCGGTGCCTCACACACCTGACTAAAAACCTCACGTACAGTGTGTACCTCTGCCAAATGCACCACACAGATATCCCTGTCGTTAGCCTAACACATCAGTGCCTCACACAACTGACTAAAAACCTCACGTACAGTGTGTACCTCTGCCAAATGCACGACACAGATATCCCTGTCGTTAGCCTTACTAACACATCTGTGCACAGAACCTCAAGTTTGTTACATGTTTTATACATCGGTGCCTCACACACCTGACTAAAAACCTCACGTACAGTGTGTACCTCTGCCAAATGCACCACACAGATATCCCTGTCGTTAGCCTTACCAATACATCTGTGCACAAGTTTGTTACATGTTTTTACACATCGGTGCCTCACACACCTGACTAAAAACCTCACGTACAGTGTGTACCTCTGCCAAATGCACGACACAGATATCCCTGTCGTTAGCCTTACTAACACATCTGTGCACAGAACCTCAAGTTTGTTACATGTTTTATACATCGGTGCCTCACACACCTGACTAAAAACCTCACGTACAGTGTGTACCTCTGCCAAATGCACCACACAGATATCCCTGTCGTTAGCCTTACCAATACATCTGTGCACAAGTTTGTTACATGTTTTTACACATCGGTGCCTCACACACCTGACTAAAAACCTCACGTACAGTGTGTACCTCTGCCAAATGCACGACACAGATATCCCTGTCGTTAGCCTTACTAACACATCTGTGCACAGAACCTCAAGTTTGTTACATGTTTTACACATCGGTGCCTCACACACCTGACTAAAAACCTCACGTACAGTCTGTACCTCTGCCAAATGCACGACACAGATATCCCTGTCGTTAGCCTAACACATCTGTGCATGGAACCTCAAGTTTGTTACACGTTTTTAAACATCAGTGCCTCACATATCAGGCTAAAAACCTCATGTACATTGGATTCATTGCTACTACATGTGTTTGTGTTTATACCGGTACTTTGTGCATGCTGACATCAATTTCCACAATATAACATTATTACTTGAGGTTCTACACTGAACCTCATCAACCAAACTTATTTCAGAGTGCCTCACTCCCTCTGTGAAAATGGGAAAGGGAAAGTGTAGTTTCACTTTCAGATTATTTGAATATTCATATTTACACTGAATACATCAAGAAAGCTCTATAAAAACTGCTGACTCTCTACACCCAAATAAGGGCATGTCCTAGCCAGAAAACTCTTCCTAAATGTTAACAAAAAAATCTCGGTTTGGAAGCCAAGCATTTTAAAGTCTACTAGCAAAAAACAAGGGAAAGCTTTATATGTAAAATATCATTTTTGTTTAATATAACATTTCTTCAATGCACACACAAGCAGGCTACACATCTATACTCCCTCTTTGGGCAGTGAGCTGTTCCATTAAGTAAATAAATAAGTTAGGCACGAGTTATTCCATTCGTGGAATTGAGGGGGTCACTCAAGGAATGGACTTGGATATAACTGCAAAAAAGGATCACCTATAGTAGAATCCGGACACACGATCACTGTACACTCACGTGGCCCCCTCCAATGGAGAAACCATTGTGCATGCTATTGTACAAAGCAACTGCCCTGTAACGCATTATCTGAACAATAGCTAGCACAATGCTTTCGCCATTAAAGGGGGCCTTCTTGATAGAATTGACCTATCGCCGTTTGCGAGTTAGCCACGCCCCTTAGACAACCCTATGGAATTTTGTGCGTTCAGTTTTGTTTGTCTCAGATTTTGCACGAGCCGCGTCCATTTGTATATCATGTAATTGGACAATATTTCATAAGCTGCGTTCACGCGATTCTACCGCGATAGGTTAATTGATAGTGTGATCAGGTTGGTGTTTAACATCAACATTGATTTTGTTTACGTTTAGATATGAATTCAATTGGTCTATACCTCTAAGTATGTGGGATAAAAGGGTCAACTGCTATAAATTTTTTTATTTCCCGAAATATGTCAGAGTTGGGGCAAGTGCAACTTTAGTCGAGCATGTAAGTCTCTAATTTGGTAAAACTGGCCTAAATCCCATTTTACAGCTAGCTGAAATGCAGTAGAAATAACATGCAGTCACCGAAGTTTATGTGATTAACTAGCTTTCGCACGTACTTGACCACATGCCGCCGGGATTATTTTTAGCCAAAAAACACTATTTTTTTTAAAAAGACAAGAAATACCTGCCAAATTTGTTATTCATGCGAACACCAGAAATGCTGACTCCTGAGAGTTATTTGTACGATACGTATCACTGTAACCTCGTATTTTGCAACACTCCGAGGCCCTCCCACGGAGCGATATTTCCTACGACGACAGGCCGTGTACAATGGCCAAGTTCAAGTTTAAAACACGGTGTGCACAAAACCAATGGGAAACATGTAAACGTCCACCGCCGGAGACTCGTGGAAAGCTTGACAATTTAAAGGTATAGTCCATCATTTGTAATTTGTGCATTTTGTTCGTTTGAAGCAACAAACGTGCTCAAAATCTAAAGAAGGGTATTGAACAACTAACGTGATGAAGTTTCAGCTCAGCTTCAGCTGTATTTTCCGAGAAAAACACCATTCTAGGATCTCGATTTCAAATCGAAAGTTGCTGAATCATGTTTTGAATTGGGCCTGAATGCAGCGTCCGTGACACGTTCTCAATGAGCCGATTGCAGCTACGCGATGTCGCGCACTGATCCGACGAATTATAGCAACCGCGCGCGCATGTGCGTCGTGCCAATGCTTGCGCGCGCTTCGCTGCAAAACAAAACGAACTACTAATTTAAATTTCCTACGGTGCGTCTTAAGAATCACCGTTGGAAATGCCTTCTTTCGTTGATTACTTCAAAATGACAGCTTCCCAGAAGGAATAATTTCACAGGGAGTTTAGTTCCCTTACTATCTTTCAACCAAGTTTGTTTTTCAACAATAATTACGCCAGTTACTTTTCGGATGGCTGCAAATGATGGACTATAGCTTTAACCCGCCACCCACCCCTGCGAATCTACATTGCCAGATTGTGTTTACACGTCCTTTGGCATTAACTGGTTAAAGGGAATATACAACATTTGCTTTTGCCGTAATTTTCAGAAATGGATGGTTTTGGGTTGTTGGTATTTTATAGCAAATATTGTTTCACTGATTTTTTTTGAAGTTTTGTGTTCGTAGATGCTGGAAAACCAATCAAAAACAATCATGTTCTTGTAGTCTGGTTCCCAGACTCCACTTAAGATGAAACAGAGCAGTTTTAAAGAATTGTAAGGTCGGGGAACCAGTCCTAGCTGGCTTGCACCCGTTCACGGACGTGTAACCAATTGCAAACAACTTTGTGGACTGAATACATTTGGTACATTGGGGGTAGTAGTTGGAAAAAAGTCAGGAAGTTGATACAAAAATACCACCTTTCTTGAACATGTCAGCACACAGGTGCCATCCTTTTACAGGATGCTTTAGACTGTCATTCACTAACAGTCCAACAAAGTATTTCATAATAATTTGGTAGTTTTGTTTTTGGATGTTTGCAAATGTTGTATATTCCCTTTAAGGGGTTAAGAGGTTACACACATTGCCCAAGTCACTGCAGTTTAAAACCTGTTGAAAGGGGACAACATAGGTTAGATTTTATGACCCCCACGGTCAAGCCTACATCCCTTTGTCCTGGATGAGTTGCCTCGTGATCACGTGGGCTGGAATTCTCTGAGGCACCCCCCTCTGGGTCAGGCCCTCAAAACGCTTGAAGGTGTAGTTGATGAAAACCCAGTCTTTGTAGTTTTCTTCGCCTTCCTGGGGAGGAGGTGCAACTGTTGGAAGAGCAAACAGAAGCACAATCAGTGCATACATTCTTGTTTTACTATACTCCAGAGGACAATGCTTTGTGTTTACCTTTGTAAATGTAATATAACACTCTCCCATAGACTAAGCACTCAAACCTACTACAGAGTACCGTTTCGAACAAAAGACCCAACTCCTGAGGACTGAAAGGATCTGTTGTTCTCCCTTTGTGTGTCTGTCCTCAGGGGTTATGTAGAACATACATTCTGTGCACCAGTTTTGAAGTTCACAAGTCCTTGCAAGTCAACCATAAATTGTCCAGTCTCGAGTTTATATTCCAATGACAAAGGCATTCCTTTGTTGTTCGTTCATTCCCAGTTACTTGTGACCGGAGTTGAGAATAGACTAAAATCATAATGACGTCACGCTTTGTTTACAAGAGTGCTTTCTTAGGGGAACGTAGTGGCTATACCCCCCACGTGGCACCCATAGGAAAGCGCACATGTAGACAAACCGCGACGCCATAATGATTCATGTGTATTAACTTGTGATTTACTTGTGACTGGACTTGTGATGGTCTTGACAACACTGGTTTGCTTACAGTCTCCGTGAAATAGAAGAAGGCTCTGTTAGCAGAAAACTAACTGTGTTCTCAGCTGCAGCATGCAATTGGGCCCTGTACATATCTGAAAGTGGGGGAGTGTGGCCTAGCACTTAGGATTCGTGACTCATCAACAGAAGATCAAGGGTTCAAATCCAGCTGCTGGCCATATGTTGTGTCCTTGGGCAAGCCACTTCACCCTTACTTGCCTCTCTCTGCCCAGGAGTATAATTGAGGAATCTGCGATGAACTGGCATCCAATCCAGGGGGAGTAGAAATATTCTCAGTTCTTTTATGCCACTGAAACTGACGATAAACGCCGGCCTGATAGGCCATACTGGCTTGTGTGACAGACTTTTCTTTTTCACGTATCTGAAAAGGCAACTCACTCGGTTTGAGCTCAATGTCGGGAAACTCGTCAAAATTGGACGTGTCGTCGAAGCTCTTGACGTTGATGGGGATGGCTGCCGGCCGCTCCCGGATGTGCTCCCAGTCCACCCCTTTGAAGAATGGATGCGCCTTGATCTCCTCCACATCGTTGCGCCCGATTCGATGCTCGCTGTCACAGCAGAACCTATTCCAGTGACAGAGGGGGGATAGCAGATAAAACTTTTTGAGGAGGGTGTAAAAAAAGTACTGATATGTGGTATCTCCAGAATAATAAGAGATTTCTCTTCCTACAGGGCGAGTCCAAAAAAGCGGAACCCAAACCCACAGAAATATATTTCATATTTGAAAAAATACGAAGCACCAAAAATAATTATGACTGGTAAGCCAATTTAATAAACTACTTTTAGATGAAAACAATTACTTCGATTGCTCAATTTGTTCAAATCAATCACCATTTAACGAATAGACCTTAAAATATGTTCCGTCCAAAAATGTGATTTCAAGATTTGTCGTTGCAATAGTCTTTAAACATCACCAGTAAGAAAACCTCAGTTTCAAAGTTAAAAATATTCAACAAAGTCCTTTTGAAGGCCCGTCTTAAAAAAAAAAGGTTCACTTTATAAATCCTATTTGTTAGCCAAAGCAGGGTTGTTAATAAAGATATTGTGTACTTCAGTTGTTCCCTTACCTTACAATTTTCCGGCATCTGGAAATTGATCCATTTTATCTTTAGTGGAGTCAGGGAACCAGACTACTTTTTTTTGTTTTTTCTTGGTTTTTCAAGCATTGTCGAACAAAAAACTTCAAACATGTCAGTGTAACAAAATTTGATCTATTATACTAACCCCTCAAATAGTTCATTTCTGAAAATGACAGCAAAAGCCAATGATGTACATTCCCTTTAAGGGGTATCTGTGCTATGCTTTGTACCTCTGAATCATATCCCTTGATTCGGTCGATATCGGCACCTCCTCGGGAAACTGCAGCGTCTCTCTCCAGGTCATGACCTTACGGTAGGTCTCCTGGGGGGTCTCGGAGCAGAACGGCGGATAGCCAATCAGCATCTCGTACATGATGACACCTAGTGACCACCAATCGCAGACGTGGGTGTAGCCAGTTTGGACGAAGACCTCTGGTGCGATGTAGTCCGGCGTGCCCACGGTAGAATACGCCTGATGGCCAATAAAAAAAATGTTCTTCACATCTTTCAAACTTATTTGTTCAACAGCACTCAATTTTTATCAATCTGCATCTGATTTCGGCCACTGAAACCGAAATGTGAAGACAATTTTTTTCTGTGTATATAAGTATATCAGCTCACCCATACCGGAATTTGTATCCTTGTGGAGTCATTTCTTTGTTCTTGTGTACTAAAGTTACCGAGTTTGAACTTTGAAAGTGTACTTTCAAAATGCTCCTATTTTAACCAGAATAAATTTCCTGGACTGAAATCTGGACTTAATATCCCTTAGGCCCCCCCAAAAAAGTCTCCGGTTTCTGGTATGGAGCTTGCCCCAAAAGTGGTGCGGCGACGCGGCTTTTTTTTTTTTTTTTGACCTGTTTTTTTTTTTTTTTTTGGCTTCAAATGTCGGCTGATGACTGCAACTGGTGCCCGACTAAACTTAGTGCAAATATATGGGAGTCCAGAGAGGCCACATAAATCTTATTCTCGATCATAACCCCATCTAAAAACACGTTAAAATTGTGCAGCAGCAGAATTCCAGTCAAACCAGTGAGTTTGGCGGTTTTTAAACATCATCTTGTATTGAAAAAAAAACTTTTTCATTTTGCCGACGCGCATGGCTACGGCGACGCGCGCGCATACCATACACCGGAGACTTTTTTTTTTGGCCTTACATACATTGTAAAATACTTCAATTTGCGACAGACACACCTTGGAAATTCTCAGTTTTTGAGTAAAATCCATATATATCTATTTCGTGATAACCTTGTGGAGACGTATTCATCTATAGAAATTGCCCTGTGGAGACGTATACAATCTTTGTTCCCTATTGTGCGCATGTCTCCACTGGGTACCATGTACCAGATCAAAATAGCATCTCCTGGATTTGAAAATATAATTTTGCAGGATTGAGGATGAAGTTCCTAGCCCATAGGGCCTAGGGGGTTAAGGTTACGGCAACTTTTTTCCATTGTTGAAGAGTGTAATTAATGAAGCTCTTTTGGCAATTTTCTAAAACTCTTAACTGAAATTTTGCCTATCCGTCATTGCTAAACGCGATGAGCTAATACGAATCATAGGTTCTCATCTGTTCCAAACATTGATGTTATTTAAGCACAGTAAAGACGTGAAAATCCTCACCCAACAATGAGTAAAACACTTATTTCTGGTTATGACGACAGTATTCCGTCACTTACCAAGGCTCTTCTGTTTTTCTTCCAGCTTTCCATCTTCCGTTTGGAGTCTTTGGAATCCATGGGTTTGATGCTCGCTGCCGGAAACAAATGGTAAAATGTCGGTACAGTGAGAGTCAGTGCTGTATGTCAAGTACAACAAACCCTTAGTCACAAGTAAATCACCAGTCAATTCAGAAGGCCAGTCACAAAGTAACAAGGAATGAGCAATAACAAAGGAATTCCTTTGTCACAGTTAATTTGATTAAAGGGAATATACATCATTGGCTTTCACTGTATTTTTCAGAAATGAACTAGTTGAGGGGTTAGTATAATAGATCAAAATATTGTTACACTGACATGTTTGAAGTTTTGTGTCCGAAAATGCTCGAAAAAACCAAGAAAAACAAAACTGTTCAAGTAGTCTGGTTCCCTGACTCCACTAAAGATGAAATGGATCAATTTATAGATGCCGGAAAATTGTAAGGTAAGGGAACCAGTCTAGCTGGCCTGCACCCATTCATGAACATGAATTTCACAAATGGATGCAACTAGGCAAAATCCGTGCTGTGATTGGTTAACCTTACAGCAATCTACTTACCGCGTATTTGCATAAGAAAATGAATAATTCAACAAAATCAAGTTAGAAAAAAGCCTCGTGGCTTTGCCACTCGTGCGCACTGAATTAGACTTCGCTCCTTTCGCTCGCAGCTTTGCAACTCGGGGTGGGGTTAAAGGTGGGGTATTGGGCGGATGACTTACAGAAGTCCCTGGGATGTGCTCTGGATAGATCTCTGTAGAAGTCGGTCCGATGAGCCTTCTTAAGGCCAGTGCAGAGACCAAAATCTGACAGTTTAATGTGACCCTACAGGGAAAAACCAGTGAGAAAAACAGAGGTCATTACATTAGAAATTATGTACATGTATCTCAATTAAAGGGAATATACATCATTTGCTTTTGCTGTAATTTTCAGAAATGGATCGATTGGGGGGTTGGAAATATATAGCAAATATAGTTACACGACTTTTTTGAGGTTTTGGGTTCGAAAATGCTATAAAAACCAAGAAAAACAATCATTTTCCTGTAGTCTGGTTCCCTGACTTCCATATAAGAAGAAACAGAGCAGTTTACATACATTGGGGAATTGTAAGATCAGGGAACCAGTCTAGCTGGCTTGTACCCGTTCATAGGTGTGTAATCGATTACAAACAAGTGCGATGGTCAATTGGGGCCAGTATTTGGAAAAAAGCCAGTTTTTTCTAACGCTGATCGGCCGATCAGCGTTGGAAATTGATACAAAAATAGCACTTTTCTTGAAAATGACAGTATACCAGGTGTCATGATTTTACAGGATGCTTTACACTGTCATTCACTAACAGTCCAGCAAGGTATTTCAAAATGATTTGGTAGTTTTATTTTTTGATGTTTGCAAATGTTGTATTTTCCCTTTAACAATTGTTGACTGCTGTGATGAGGGAAATGACGTTTTTAACACCGGTGGGGCGCATACATGTATTTGCGCCCCGAGGGGGTTAAAAACGGCATATCCCACATCACAGCAGTCAACAATTGTTAATTGGGAGAACTGAAGGTTATCCTTTGATAACTGAAGGTTTTGATGTCCTGCCGGGCATGAGGCTGAGCGTTTGACGTTCTCATTTGCGCAAAGCTAGCACGCCGGCTGATTCCACATGCGCATGCAACGCGCACAACGAACGCAGGGCAAAGTCACCCAAAGTCTGCGTTTTTATAAACCAATGAAATGACAGTATCCAAGCACACGATGTAACAACACTATTTATGTATTTTGATAGACTTTATATCATAAATATATGCTGTTCCACTGTTTTTGCTCCTGTTGAAAAGGAAGTGATTTCTTTATAAATTTAACTGGGCCCAATTTCATAGCACTGCTTAACAGTAAGCAGAAAAGTTGTGCTTACTATAGCAGAAAATCATGCTGCTGCTTAAGCACTATTTCATGCTAACGGTTGCGCGCGGATGGAGATTTCTATTGTTACGCCACTGATTTAAGCAAAGTTTTCTTCTGGGGTTAAGCGTGCTTTTGCTGTGCTTACTGCTTAACGGTCCCTATGAAATAGACGGACACTCGGTAAGCACAAAGTCGGCTGTTAAGCAGCGCTATGAAATTGGGCCCTGACCTTGAGGTCTGTTGAAAGCCAACCTGTAATTAATTTCAGTGGTAATTTTTTTTCTTTTCCAGTTCCTGCTTACCTTGGGGTCCAGTAATAAGTTATCAGGCTTGATGTCGCGATGGATGAAGCCCAATTTGTGGATGGAATGAATGGCAAGGACCGTTTCGGCTACGTAGAACTGAGTGGCTTCCTCCGAGAGGGTTTCCTTGTTCATAAGTAGCGTCATCATATCCCCTGAAAATTTAAAACATTGAAATGGGTCAGAAGTTCTCCCAAGCTGGTTTGTACTCAACGCAAAAGCAAACGCGACGTCACAAGTTGTTTAGTTGTTTGGCTGCAAAATTTACTTAAGTTGAACACATTCCAACTCTGTATCCTCACGTGTGGTCTAGCGGTAGGGCACAGGATTCATGATCATGAGATTGTGGGTTCAAGCCCCACCGGCCATGCATGCTGTGCCCTTGAGTAAGGCACTTTACCTCAATTACTCCTCTCAACCCAGGGAACTGGCATTATTCCATGCTGGGGAGGTACGGTAACAGACTGACTGTGGAGGAGGTGTGGCGATCCCCCCACAGCAGCATTTCATGGACTCGAGTCTGACCCAATCGCTTTGAAAGACAGATGGCACCCCGTTGCTGTGAACACAGGTTCGTCCCCCTTTACCTAATCCTTTCCAAGAGATCCCGTTTGCTATTTCCAAGGTTTGCAGCATTGCTGATGTTGCTAGCATCGGGACATTGGGCGTGGGTACCCGGGTTCTCATAATTTACTTCAATAGGGTACCAGGTTCCAGTACTACCTGTAAACTACCCTGGTACCCCCTGGGCGTGGGTACCCGGGTAGTAATAATTTTACTTCAATAGGGTACCAGGTTCCAGTACTACCTGTAAACTACCCGGGTACCCCCTGGGCGTGGGTACCCGGGTACTCATAATTTTACTTCAATAGGGTGCCAGGTTCCAGTACTACCTGTAAACTACCCGGGTACCCCCTGGGCGTGGGTACCCGGGTACTCATAATTTTACTTCAATAGGGTACCAGGTTCCAGTACTACCTGTAAACTACCCGGGTACCCTCTGGGCGTGGGTACCCGGGTACTCATAATTTACTTCAATAGGGTACCAGGTTCCAGTACTACCTGTAAACTACCCGGGCACCCCCTGGGCGTGGGTACCCGGGTACTCATAATTTTACTTCAATAGGGTACGAGGTTCCAGTACTACCTGTAAATGCATGCCACTACTCAAACAGTAAATAAAGCTGTGGAAAATTTGATCATTTCTTGTGGATGGCCTTACCTCCTGGCAGAAACTCCATGATTAAGTAGAGATTGTGAGGGTCCTGGAAGGAGTAATACATCTTGACCACCCAGGGGTTGTCTGCTTCTACTAGTATGTCCCTCTCTGCCCTCACGTGTGCAACCTGGAGGAGAAAATTGTAGAGCCATAAGCAGAGTTTCTTAATCATTGGTGCATGGACTTAAAGCTCAATGTATATGTAACCCTTCAACAGTGACAAAGCATCTTAACATCGCAAAATAATTAAGTCCACACTCATTGGACGGGTCAGAATTTTGAATCTGATCGTCTTATGGTAATGTCATTTATACAGACCTTTTTGGATGTTGTTAGCTACAACATTTAGTTTGTTTAGAACTTACAGCATAGTTCGTTTAGAACTTACAGCAGGACTGTTCTCAACAGAACAAAAAGAAACTACTTAGCAAAGTTGATAACAAGCAGGACAAGTACTTTTCAGAACTAATATCTTCTAAGCAGTAGTTATTGCCACATGGCATTACCGCAAACCAAAACGATACCGATACCCCACCATGCAAAGCCTCAAATCTTATACTAGCTACATTTTGATACCCAGTTTGCTACCAAAGACTGTTTTTAAATCATCCAAGATTAACAACGGTTTATGAAAAATTATGCAGTTTGAACGGTTGCAAATTGAAAGAGTACGCAAGTGGAAATTGCTGCGTGACAATGTTACACTGCCCGAAACAAACAGCAGGGAATACCGATTGCACAGTGCTTGCATGCATGGGAGCATAGCACGCTAATTTAATTACCCGCACTTTGTACCGGTGTCACATGAAAATCCGACTCCTATGAAAATCGGACCCCTATTTCCCTATTATTGGTTGATCCCTCGCACGTGACAGGTCACTCTCCCGAAACGATCCTAAAAATAGCATAGTATTGTACTCACGCGTGCGCAGTACTACCAATGAGTCCACATTTCATGGAGTCGGATATTCACGCTACACTGCCACTGTTTAGTTGATAGGGCCCAATTACAGGCATGTGTGGTATATGCTTAGCAATTTCTCCTCGCGTAATATTTAAATTTGGGAAGTACAACGTTTAGTTTTGGGGTTTCAGGAGCTTCAGCGCTTGCGCTCTCATTATTTCTTACACAGTGTTCCCAAGTGAGGTATCAAATTGCACCGGAAATTTTCATGACAAAACGTACATTTCAGATTTTTTTTGTTCATAGAGAAATGCCCAAACAAGGATGATTATAAAAAACTGCTTAGTTTCTTTTTGTGCCGTGTGTACATCACATGGCATTTAGACAGGCAACAAGTCTGCTCAGCACTTTGTGTGCTTTACAGCGCTCCAAGAAAATAACCCACACAGTACTGTGGTATTTGGGCAACGCTAGACTTCCACCAGCCCCTCACCTGCTCCTTCTCGTGCATGTCGGCCTTGCGGAGAATCTTCATGGCGTAGATGTGACCCGTGTCCTTCTTCTGGACCAGCCGCACCTCGCCGAAGGCCCCGCGACCTATGACCTTGATGGAGTCAAAGTCGTCGACCCCGAGCCGCGACCTCTTGAGGCGAAGGAACTCGGTTTCCTTCAGCGCATGCTGGTTTCGCTTCTCCCGTTTCTATCAGAAATGAAAAAATGAGGAACTAAATAGTGCAGAAGTATTTACAGAAATCTATACATTGGACTTTCAGTTTAAGCAGAAACCAATCAGTAAATAACAATACAGGGTGAGTAAAAAAAAACGAAACCCAAATGTTAGGACCATTGTTTTAGTGAAGTTCTTCATGTAGCACTTTGAAAATCTAGGATATGAAAGCCCAATTCATAAGCTTTCTTTTTTTACAAGAATCATTTAAATCACTCATGTATTTTTTAAGTTACGGAATTTTAAACACAACCACCGTTTTGAGGTTCTGTCCACGGATCACAAAAAAGTTCAGTGTTCTTTCAGAAAACGAAAAAAAATCACATAGGGATGTGTGTGAATTGTTTTCGTTTTGCTGAAAGAACGCAAACCTTTTTGGGTGATCCATGGACAGAACTTCAAAACGGTGGTTGTGTCTAAAATTCCGTAACTTGAAAAGTACATGAGTGATTTGAATGATTCTTGTACTGAAAGAAAGTTATGAATTGGGCTCTCATGTCCCAGATTTTGAAAGTGCTACGTGCAGAACTTCAATAAAACAATAGTCCCGACAGTTAGGTTTTGTTTTTTTGTACTCACCCTGTATAGATTGTAAATACATTGTTTATATGTACTTCTGCAGTCAGTAGACTTTGTACTTGAATTAATGTGGGCTAGGCTTTGTAAATACTACATGTATGTGAATGCAAAAGAAAAGCAATACCATTACATCAACTGCTTCAGTTTTGTCGTGTGACTTGCTTTTTCTATTTTGCTTTGAGTACAAATCTGCCTTCAAGGACTAGTTTACAATTTCCAAAATTAACTCGGAAAGAGTTCCATACCTGGGCCCAATTTCACGGCGCTGCTTAACAGTTAGCGGAAAGGTTGTGCTTAGCATAGCAGAAAAATTTGCTAACATTCAGCACTATTTCACGGCGTGAATGTGCTTAATGGTCGCGCGTGCATGGAGATTTCTATTGTTACATGTACGTCACAAAGTTAAGCAACTGTTTCCTCTTAAGTTAGCGTGCCTTTTGCTGTGCTTATGCTTACGGTCTCCATGAAATAGACGGAGGCTCTGTTAGCAGAAAACCGTGTGCTTAGCAGCGCCATGAAATTAGGCCCTGGGGCCAATTTCATAGAGCTGCTTAAGCACAAAATTTGCTTAAGCACAAAAACGTCTTGCTTAATAAAATCAGGTGACCGGCCAAAACTCCATGCAATTGTTATGCTAAGTAAACAACAGCTAAATACCAGTCACAAGCAATGTACATCACATGGAGTTTTGGCCGGTAACCTAATTTTACTTAGCAATGTTTTTTCGTGCTTAAGCAAATTATCTGCTTAAGCAGCTCTATGAAATTGGGCCCTGGACATCACTTGTCACCCTGTGCACAAACCCTATGAGACTGGTCTGTAAAATTCCAAGTGTTTTCTCCATAAATGCTTCGATATAATTTCCCTGCTAAATTTGACTTTTTAGAGCATGTTATCGCTTTCTGATGGCTGATATGTTACTGAAGGGAAAAATAAGTGATCTCCATGACTGAAATTCTTCCCATTGACTCTTTGGATGTGCTAAAGAACTAATTGGGAAAGGTGGAACAAATTGGAAATTAATTAACACTAAGAAAATTAATAAACAATAAGACAGTAAGTGTACACATGTAATTTAAAGGGAATATACAACATTTGCAAACATCGAAAAATAAAACTACCAAGGTTTTGCGAAATACATTAATAGGATGTTGGTAAATGACAGTCTAAAGCATCCTGTAAAATTATGGCACCTGGTGTGAAGTCATTTTCAAGAAAATGGAATTTTTGTAAAATTTCCAGCGGTGGTCGGCCGACCACCGTTGGAAAAACCTAACTATTTTTCAACTACTGCTCCAAATTTACCATTAATTCAGTCCAAATTTTGTTTGCTATTGGTAACATGTTCATGAACGGGTGCAGGCCAGCTACATTGGTACCCTTGCGTTACAATTTTCCGGCATCTGTAAATTGATCCATTTTATATTTAGTGGAGTCAGGGAACCAGACTACTTGAACAGTTTTGTTTTTCTTGGTTTTTCCAGCATTTGCGAATACAAAACTTCAAACATGTCAGTGTAACAATATTTGATCTAATATACTAACCCCTCAAATACTTCATTTCTGAAAATTACAGCAAAAGCCAATGATGTACATGTATATTCCCTTTAAAAAGGAAAAACACACAATTTGATTTCTGCACTTTTTTACACTCAGTGCAAACAATGTGCAACATGTGACTTGTAATGTTTAGTTAGCTGTTTACTTGTCATGCTCAAGCAGTGTGCGTGAAGCCTTGTCATTTTTCTTTTTCGAGGAAGAATATTAACATCCAGTAGCAGCCTTATCTTGTCATCACCTTAGCAACGACACAATAAAGTGCAGCCAGCACACATGCATGTGTGACCCACATCAAATAATGTATCCGGGATGATATCAAAAAACAAATAGTATAAAGTTCACAAACATAATGGACATACCGTATATGCACTGATGTAATGTACATATTCATGAAGTCTACATGCACATGCCGATAACTGCACTTTTTATGTGTACACAAAAATCTCAGTAAAGACTAAAAGTAAGGCTATTTTCCATGTTAGGCCAAAAAAAAAATAATATTCGGTCTTTGGTCAGACCAAAGTTCCGGAATTGACGCGGCCACGCGGCTTTTTTTTTTTTTGCTTTTAGTTTTTTTTATTCTTCAAGCTTGGATTGTACAGACAAGGTGGGGTACTATTTTGTTTTTTTTTGGTGTCCTCATGTACACTGGTGTCCTCCATAATTTGCCTTGGTGCTTTCGATCATTTACCTTGGTGCAATTAGCCATTCCTTGGTGCTCTTTGGTAAAAAAAATTGAGGTGCGGAAATAGAGGGCGCTGTTGGAGCTACCGCGGAACATTTTGGGGAAAAAAAAGATTGACGCGCATGATTAAAATCGACGCGCGCGCTGACCAGAGACCGACTTATTTTTTTTTTGGCCTTAGATGAAGCTTCTTGTTACAATTTCCCCTTTTGGGAGTTGGGACAAAAAAAAAAAAACCAATACAATTGCCTTAAAATTTGTCAATTTGACACACATCATAGTTTAGAATTCCAGAAACTTTGCATAATAAATGTACTGATTTCTGTATGTTTTAATCTAAACATTTTTTTTAAAATATATACCAAAACAGCTTAAAGGGAATATACAACATTTGCAAACATCGAAAAATAAAACTTCCAAGTTTTTACGAAATACCTTACTAGGATGTTGGAAAATGACAGTCTCAAGCATCTTGCAAAATTATGGCACCTGGTGTGAAGTCATTTTCAAGAAAATGGTATTTTTGTATGCATTTCCAATGGTGGTCAGCCGACCAGCGTTGGAAAAACCTAACTATTGTTCAACTACTGCTCCAAATTTAACATTATTTCAGTCCAAATTCTGTTTGCTATTGGTTACATGTTCATGAACGGGTGCAGGCCAGCTAGACTGGTTCCCTTGCCTTACAATATTCCATCATCTATAAATTGATCCATTTTATCTTTAGTGGAGTCAGGGAACCAGACTGCTTGAACATTTTTGTTTTTCTTGGTTTTTCCAACCTTTTCAAACACAAAACTTCAAACATGTCAGTGTAGCAATATTTGATCTATTATACTAACCCCTCAAATAGTTCATTTCTGAAAATTACAGCAAAAGCCAATGATGTACGGTACACTCCCTTTAAAAAAACAAGCCTCAACTTCCGCATACCTCTTCTTCTGAAAGCCCTGAGATTGATTCCTCCAACTTCTTTTGTCTGTAAAATGAACAAAATGAACAAAGGACGCAACATTATATCAACAAATCAGTTTGTCAAATGAAAACAGTCCAGATTTTCGTACAAGGAAATAATGTCAAATTCTTTTCAAATTTGTCAGAGAAAATTACTTTGCTGATAGGTGCACTGTTTACATATATACATGTGTACACGAACTTCTAATGCATGTCAGAACTCATGCACCCTTACTGTTTTTCCCAGGATTCTCTTCAATTCTCCCAAATCCATTGCTGCCTTGGCCGTGCAAGAATTCCATGGCACATGCTAGGGGAGGGGGGGGGGGGGGGGAGGCAGGTACCATCTTCCAATGGGGGCGCTGTTCAAATCGTCGATCGTGCACGCCATCGGATAGATTGCGCTTTTCAGGGCGGCACAATGGACCGATCCAGTAAGCTCCGTCCAGTGCGCACGTGGGCAAATTAACACGTGCTCCTCTCCAATGCCACACTGCATTTTCCTTCCGCGCGCATCATACGCGTGTGCACACATGTCGGACTTTAGTGCACGCACGTCGGACATAAATCACGGCTGTGATTGGTCAGAACACCATGGGGCGGTGCTTACTGGATCGGTCCATTGCCGACGGTCGCACCAAATGACAGAAAGGGCACTCGTAAAAGGCCGCTGGTAAAAAAGGGCACTTGGTTTTTGGTTTTTTTTAAAGGCACTTGTTAAAACAAAACGGGCACTTGTTTAAAACAATAAAAGGGCACTATTCACAATAGGGGGGGGGGGTAAACTGCTGGTGAAAAAAGGGCACTCGCATGGAAAAGGGCAACCTGTACAAAATATTGGGGGGGGGGGGGGAAAATCCCCCCCCCACACCCCTGACGATGCACTATATGGCACGAAGTACCCACAACTTCTTGTATTCTAAATGTGCTTTAACTTGTAGCGTTTTCACTTGAGCGTCAGGGGCCGACGATATTACGTTAATTCAAATGTCCGTTCCAGTGGTCTCCCCCAACTCTCCCTTTGTAACCGTTAAAGGGAATATACAACATTTGCAAACATCGCAAAACAAAACTACCAAATTTTTACGAAATACCTTACTAGGATGTTGGTAAATGACAGTCTAAAGCATCCTGTAAAAGTATGGCACCAGGTGTGAAGTCATTTTCAAGAAAATGGTATTTTTGTATGCATTTCCAACGGTGGTCGGCCGACCACCGTTGGAAAAACCCAACTATTTTCAACTACTGCTCCAAATTTACCATTTTTTTAATCCAAATTTTGTTTGCTATTGGTTACAAGTTCATGAACGGGTGCAGAACAGCTAGACTGGTTCCCTTACCTTACATTTTTCTGGCACCTATAAATTGATCCATTTCATCTTTAGTGGAGTCAGGGAACCAGACTACTTGAACTGTTTTGTTTTTCTTGGTTTTTCCAGCATTTTTGAACACAAAACTTCAAACATGTCGGTGTAACAATATTTGATCTATTATACTAACCCCTCAAATAGTTCATACCTGAAAATTACAGCAAAAGCCAATGATGTACATGTACATTCCCTTAAGGGGAGGGGGATTGGGCGCAGAGTCATATTCACTAATTTGACGCATTCCTCAAGCACGGTCATTTATTCAAAAACTGCTTGAGGCATTAATAACTTCCACACATTTAAGTCACTGACTTGGTATGCTTGGACCACAGGCAGGTCAAACGTATTACGTTTACCTGTTTGTGCCCAGGGATAAATTTAGACATATCACGCTCATTATATACATGTAGTATGGTTTCAGTGCACACCTAGTGGTTCACGGCAGAAAAGGTCACTTGCATACGTGTACCATTCACTGTACATGACATGTATAATGCTGTAGTTATGAAACTAGTACACACAATGAATGAGCTCAACTGATATTGTCATATTCATTCATGTCAAACAGAAGCTTGTGCGTGATTTTTATCTCACGAGTTTTATTTATTTGCTTATGTTTCCGGTACCGGTCCATCATGTGATGTACATATTTACGAGTAATACTTTCAGAATTCTTTTCCAAACTTGTTTATTGTGACTTTACCGTACGTATTAACGAAGAGTCTAATAACATGAATATACATGTATGTATGCATATGTACGTATTAAAGGGAATATACAACATCTGCAAACATTGGAAAACAAAACTACCAAATTTTTTCGAAATAGCTTACTAGGATGTTGGTAAATGAAAGTCTCAAGCATCCTGTAAAATTATGGCACCTGGTGTCAAGTCATTTTCAAGAAAAGTGGTATTTTGTGTAAATTTCGAACGGTGGTCGGCCGACCACCGTTGGAAAAAGCTAACTATTTTTTCAACTACTGCTCCAAATTTACCATTTTATTCAGTCCAAATTTTGTTTGCTATTGGTTACATGTTCATGAACGGGTGCAGGCCGGCTAGACTGGTTTCCTTATCTTACAATTTTCCGGCATCTATTAATTGATTCATTTCATCTTTAGTGGAGTCAGGGAACCAGACTACTTGAATCTTTTTGTTTTTCTTGGTTTTTCCAGCATTTTCGAACACAAAACTTCAAACATGTCAGTGTAACAACATTTGATCTATTACATGTATACTAACCCCTCAAATAGTTCATTTCTGAAAATGACAGCAAAAGCCAATGATGTACATGTACATTCCCTTTAAACCTTGACCTAAGTAAATTGTGCAGTACCAAGGCCGCTTTTTGATTTACAAATTTGCTTTTGTCTCTTTTACAGAACTGCATTTACATGCCAAACAAGTTTAAATCTAGAATTCTAACATAACACTTGTACCGTACCTGTACCTGTTCACTATAGGATCCAATTTCTCTGGGTTTGTTCATGAAATCCACCTCAACATTTGAAAGTAAACTTTGTTCGACCACACACAGTTGGGGAACTGATTTTTAATGAATACCAGATAGTACACAAAGCCAAAACGAATCAATCTCCCACCGCTGTGCACACAAGTAAATTCCCAAGCCCCAGCATGGGTCAAGCCATTCCATATGTGCGGGCAAAATAAACATCCGACTTTTGTTTACAGTATGTCTCTCCGGCCCCCTCCTTTTCTTTTCATGCCCCGCCCCTCCAATCTGAAACAAAAACTGGTGACTCATGATCGATGTCATTTTAAAGGGAAGATACAACATTTGCAAACATCAAAAAACAAAATGATCAAATTATCACGAAATACCTTACTGAATTGTTGAGGACTGACAGTCCAAATCATCCTTTAAAATCGTGGCTCCTGGTGTGCTGACATTTTCAAGAAAAACTGTATTTTTCCAACGCTGGTCGGCCGACCAGCGTTGGAGAAAACTGGCTTTTTTTTCAAAAACTGTCCCTAAGTTTTCATATTTAGTTATTCTGACTTTTCTTTGCAATTGATTACACACCTGTGAAGGGGTACAAGCCTGCTAGACTGATTCTCTGAGCCTACAATTCCCCACGTGTATTAATTGCTCTGTTTCATTTTAAGTGGGGTCAGGGAACCAGACTACAAGGACATGATAGGTTTTCTTGGTTTTTCCGGCGTCTACAAGCCCAAAACGTGAAACAAGTCAGTTTAACAATATTTTCTATAACATACTAATCCTCCAAATCCATTTATTTCTGAAAATTACAGCAAAAGCAAATGTTGTACATTCCCTTTAAAGGGACATCCTGGAATGCACCCAATTGGGCTAAAAATGCATTTTTAACGAAATCATGTTAATAGGAAAGAACATGTAAAAGTAGGATATGAACGTCCACATTGACTATCCTTTAAAAAGTGGGCCTTTTTGTGTAATTCTTGCAAGAACCATGCGAGAACATGTTGGGGTACTAGTCTTGATTCAAGCCACACATGTTCCACTCAGTGCATCGCATTCTGCGGACGTGCGACAAACAACATTTGTGTATTTGTGCTGTGTTTATTATGTCATGGTTCACAGTGTCAGGTACACGCATACTGGAATTTGTATTCTTGTGGAGACATTTCTTTGTTCTCGTGTAGTACAGTTTTCGAGTTTGAAAGTGAAGTTTCAAAATGCTCTTATTTTAACCAGAATTAATTTCCTTGGCTGAAATTCGGACTAAATATCCCTTTTCTAAAACTCTTCCATTTGCGACAGATCAACCAACCTTGGAAATTCCTAGTTTTTGAGTAAAATCCATATATCTATTTTGTGAAATTCTTGTGGAGACGTATTCATCTATAGAAATTGTCCTGTGGAGACGTATACAATATGTGACCTGTTCTGTCAAAAGCAGACGCTTCTGGGCAGAGGTTGAAATTGAGATAGGGCCAAAAAACGCTGTGGGGGGTGATTTTTATCGATTTTCAAATTTTTGCATATTTGTAATCCTGAACATGTCTAAAATATATTATAAAAGTTTGAAACCCTAATTTGAACTCTACATATACTATTTTTGATGATTTTGATAAGGTATATCAGTTAAAGAAATAACTGTTTTGTGACGTTCGTGGCCATTTTCTCTGTTTTCTACTTTTCGACATAATGAACTTCAAAATAGCATAACTCTGCCCAGGAATGACCGGTTTCAAAAATTAAACCACCTATTAAAAGGAAAAAGAACATATTTAACGATATGTAAAAATATCATTTTCAACCTTATGCCCAGAAAAGTCTGATTTTGACAGAACAGGTCACATCTTTTGTTCCCTATTGTACACGCGTCTCCAGAGGGTATGGTGTACCAGAACTGACATACATGTACATTGAATTGACACTGCTGGAAATAGGTATGCGTATGGCACAAAATGGCCGCCGCATCAGAAGTAAACAACCGGGATTTTTCATCTTCTCTCAGGAACAGTGCGACATTAGAGTTTCCTTTTAACCATACCTTTGAAACAGGATAAGTCAACAATCCAAAACGTAAAAGTTTCGGGGATTTCAGGCCGGAATGCCCCTTTAAGTGGCCGAGAAAAAAACAAACAGCAGTGATCTAAATTTAGCGCTTGGTCATTTTATCAGAGGATGAATCAGTTTTGCTATCAAATCTTTCCATCTGGTTTGACTTTTTTTCACAATATTTCTTTTTCCCTTTTTGTTGTTGTTGACTTAAAGGGAATGTACATCATTGGATTTTGCTTTAATTTTCAGAAATGAACTACATGTATTTGAGGGGTAACTATAATAGATCAAATATTGTTACACTGACAAGTTTGAAGTTTTGTGTTCGAAAATGCTGGAAAAACCAAGAAAAACAAAAATTTCCAAGTAGTCTGGTTCCCTGACTCCACTAAAGATGAAATGAATCAATTTATAGATGCCGGAAAATTGTAAGGTAAGGAAACCAGTCTAACTGGCCTGCATCCATTCATGAACATGTAATACATAGCAAACAAAAAGTTTGGATTGAAAAAAAATGGTAAATTTGGAGCAGTAGTTGAAAAATAGTTAGGTTTTTCCAACGGTAGTCGGCCGACCACCGTTGGAAATTTATAAAAAATACCACTTTTCTTTAAAATGACTTCACACCAGGTGCCATAATTTTACAGGATGCTTTAGACTTTCATTTACCAACATCCCAGTAACTGAGTAAGCTATTTCGTAAAAATTTGGTAGTTTTGTTTTCCAATGTTTGCAAATGTTGTATATTCCCTTTAAATTGATTGACTACATGTACATGTAAACCCATTGACAGCAATGTACATCATCCAGGCATTATTTTTGTGGTCAGGATTAACACTTAATGACATTGAGTTGCAAAAGGGTAAATTCCAATGGAGTACCAGTGCATTCCATTGCCGTTCATTCACTTGGGCAAACTGTATTAGCGGTAAATCTGTCTTGCCAGATTATTTTCTGATTAAACATTTTACGCTGAGATTTTTAAATTACAAGTGCTACATGTAAGCATCGTTCAAACTGTACTCTGAATGTTATAAATTTATCAAACTACATGTATGCTTAAATTTAATCAAAGAGAAAATTGTACTCCAGCACTTGGCTACATGTTTATTTACTGGAGTTGCTTTAGAAGCAGAAAACTTGCTAACAGTTCTACAGTCTAAAGCAAACTTCAAAAACAAGACACATCATCAGATTATTTTTAGGCTGGTTATATACACACGATGTACGGGTGTGTTTTGAATAGCAAAATGTTTCCATGTGCTGCCATTTTTGGCATACATGTATAATTTGGAAAATGTTCCCAGGTTAACAAATATTTAATTCAAGTAACAAAAACATATTCACCTAAAAAAACATTTTAAGGGAGAATGCACATACTATGGTTTTGTTTTAAATTGATAATTTTGTGCACCTTTTGCATACATAAGTTGTATTACTTACAAGTCTGACGTACACTGCAACAGACCAGTGTGCTGTGCATACGTTTTTTAGTTTCATCATACACGTACATGTATACGTGTACATGTACATGTACATGTACAGTCATGTACATTTTCTGTACACGTGGTACATGTACGGTACATGTACGGTACGTACATCTGTACATGGATATGCTTCCAAGGACTAACACTTCAACCACAACAAATAAAGCTTCATTTTCAGATATTACGGTTCTACATGTAGTTGTCACTGTTAAATCAATTTTGAAGGGTTAAAAAAGGTGTGCATTCACAGTGTTTAAACCATTGCTATGACGTCACACTATTGTTAAAAGTGTGGATTCGGATCTACGAATCTCTTACACTGGTCACAAAGTGTGGATTCGGAACGACGAATCTTTAGTAAAGTGTGGATTCGGAATTACGAATCCACGTCGGACAATTGTTCTCCATAATGAGCATGAATAGGACCGTCTGCGTGAAAATTTGCTTTCCGAAAATTACCATTGCATCTTCACTGTCAGATTCTCCGCCGTCACTGCAAAATCTAGTCAGAAAGAAATCGTCGTCTGAACTATCCATTTTGACGTAAGGAGCCTACACACACAAAATGACTTGGTTGTACATGTATGTGTACGTGTGGCATATACGCATGCTAAACACGCCAGGAAAAAATGTTGCAACCTGACGCCACTTCCGCGCTTGTGTACAAAGTCTATGGAGAGTCATTTCAAGTATTTCCTAACAAAATTGGAAACATTTCTCAGTCCCAGATTCATGTCTTATCATCATTTTTGCAACGAATGACCTTCATTGAGATGATATGAAGGAAAAAGTGGCGTCAGGTTGCAACATTCTTTTCAATACTTCTGTTGACGCAATCATGTTTAAGTCGAATAATACACTCGCAAGTGTGGATTCTTAATTTACGAATTCACTCGGGGCTTCGCGCCTCGTGAATTCTTAAATTACGAATCCACACTTTCTCGTGTATTCGCCTTAACGTACATAACGGTACACAGTGTACTACATAATTTACAAAATGTTTATTCATAAAATCAATGCTAAAAGTTGAGCATGCACTAAGGATAATAAATAAAACATTATACAAATAGAACATCCTTGAAATACATTTTGTAAAACAGTTGCTCTACTATCATACTGTGCTCAATCAATATTTGCTTAATGAACCGCCCAGCATTTCATAAAAAAACCCCGAAGTCATTGCCCTATGTACCGCATATGTACATAAAGTGTGCAAGGTACGTGTGCAGGTACAGTGCGTGTTTATGGTGTAAATCGAGGACACACACATGCAACATCATCGATGAATCGAGGACAGAAACCGAATCGAGGACTCCTCAGTTGGAAAACGTTTACAGAACCAATGACAGCTGTTGCGAAAAAGTTAAAGTACCGGTACAAACAAAGGAAAAGGGAAGAGGAACAACAAAAAAAATCCTTGATTTACACCATAAACAATCGTGCTAGTTCATGTATCATACACAGTACAATACCTATAGATGTGACGTACGCAATGTTGTGTATCTGGACAGTATCCAAGGACCAAGTTCAAATACATACTTTGTGCACATAATCACAGATCACAAAAGAGTCAAAACTGACTGAACCACACGATACAAATAATCATTCAGTTTGTGCAACCAAGCACGCCACATGGAATTGAGTTTTGTTCTCATTGATCTACATGTGTACTTGCAATAAAGCAGGCCAATCCCACCATTCATCCATGTTACATTCATCTTTTCACTGTGAAAATCTACCATAATCTATGTTTGTAAACTTGTCTATTGGCACACATTACACTGGTGGTCTGTAGTGTATGAAGGGGGGAAATTATACAATGGGCAATTCCACAGTTAAGTGCGACATGAGGGTCAAAATTTCAAAATGATTTTTTTCTCAAACATCTTTTCCAAAATTGATAAGGCATATTCTGAAGTGTCTAATAAATAAGCCATTGTTCTAAGCCAATTATTTTGTAAGTTACAGCACTTTTCAAGTTGGCGCTCTATTTATGCCAAAAACCTTGGTAAGAACACAAATATCTTTTGGTATTTTCAGTAATCAAATAATCTTGAAGTTATTTATGTGTGAAAATAACCACTCTCAGAGTCTATTGTTTTGGAAAAATTACTTTTATGTACATGAAATTAATGTTAGATACCCAGGATGTTCCGTTACAATAACAATAAATAATGTAATGTCAGTCACAAAACAACGATGATTTTTTTTCCATAAAAGTATTGATGTACCTTGGCACCACACACAGGCCAAGGGGGCCAAGTATTAATAATAATAAACAGCCATTATTTCACTCCAACCCCCTAGGCCCTTTTTGCTAGGAACCATATCCTCCAAAATCCTCCAACATTTTGCACTTCTGTTCAAATAAGGATACCCAGTTCCTCAATCCTTCAAAATCGTCAGACAGTCCTGCCGCTCAGAACTGCATTCATCCTCAATCCTCCAAAATCCAAATATGGGCCATGCCCCAAACCCCCCAACCTTCCACTCCGTAAGCTCCACGCTCTAAGCGCTCGGCTACAAGGCCCCTCTGCGGCTACGAGGCCCCTCTTTTTAAAAATCCGAAGTTTAATTCACCCACTAGTTCCTACACCGTACCTGTTAAGTCGTTCCTCTTTCTGGAACCACAGGTTGTGGTAGAAGTTCTCTAGCGTGACCTTGGCCTTGGTGACCTTGTCGTAGGTGTGGGGCGAGAAGCGTACCCCGCCCGGGGTCGTCGCCATGTTGCTGGAAGTGATCATCACATCAGCGGAGCGCAGACGTACACATGAAGCTACGATGATGGGGGTTGTGCTTTATGCAATGTCAGAGAGAAAATCTGTGAATGAAAAAAAGAACGAGCTGGGAGTTAATGTTGCATGTTGGTTTAGTCCTTGTTAGAGACTGGGTTTGGATTACGGCGTAGTACCGGTGTCAGGAAACCACTTTTAGAACTCCGTTGCTGGATCATCTCGTCGGTCGCACCACGAACCGGCGTATCTTGATTTTTTGCCAAATTGAGTTTTTGCCATTAGCGTCATTATTTCATCAAAGTGCTCATTCTCAGGAATTTTTGTTCCGATCGGAGTTCTAATTAACTAAGAACGCTAATTAGACTGTGTGGCGTATCTCTAAAAAATGAAAAATGCTGCACCATGAAGTGGCGTATCCCGATACGCCACTTTACACGCTAATTCCCATAGTGCTATGACGTCACAAAGGAGCGTCGACATGAACAATTTGAATTTAGCGTTTCACGAACCGACGTACATGTATCTCCGTATCTGGCACACGGCCACTATTACGCGCGTTGTATAACATAGGATAAACATGATAAAAATCTGTTTCACGAAGTGACGAATAACTTTTGAACTGAATTTCTCAAAAACTAAGCAACTCAGATGCACACGAATTGCATACAATAAAGTTAAATCTATAATTTAATAGCAAAAACGAAACAATTTTAATTCTTACACAGGGAGTATATGGAATGAGCCTACAAAATAATGACCAACTTTAAATCGTTTTTTCTCGAAACAAAAAAAAATGCGATACGTTGGTTCGTGGTGCAACTGACAATCTCTTCCAACATGTAGTGTGAGTCAGCTGATGGTGGACGATACAAACAGCCATTATTTTACTCCAACCCCCTAGGCCCTTTTTGCTAGGAACCATCCTCAATCCTCCAAAATCCTCAAATGAAGGATACCCAGTGCCTCAATCCTTCAAAATCGTCAGACAGTCCTGCCTCTCAGAATTGCATTCATCCTGAATCCTCTAAACTCATCCTCCTCTTCAAACACCATTCATCTTCAATATCTACCAAAACTTTACATGTACATGTAGCAACCGCGCGCGTGCGTCGTGTCAATACTCCCGCACCTATTCACGGCTTCGCCGAATTAAAAAACGAATGTCAGTTACTTTTTGGATAGCTGCAAATGGTCAACTCTACCTTTAACTACATGTACACTTGTTGGGGACCAGCTGCAAATAGGGAGACAAAACAAATCTGGTCTCGGACCAACAGTACAATATTTTGGTTGAAACGACAGCTGTGAATTCATCTGCCTGCAACTGCACTCAGACACAACTTACAGAACTTTTACAGTGACCAGAGTCTGTTGATCTGTTGATTACGTTGTCTGAATGTAAGCGGGTTTTTATCTGTGAACGTTGGGCATAACAGGAAAGGGGTGGGCTAAGGAAATTTGTCATCTTTTTGTCTGTTTGTTTTTTTGGGAAAAACAAGGGAAGTGGGATGTTTACATGTATCACCCTAAATGCCTGTTCAGACTTGCTGGAACTCGAAACTGTTACCATAAGGAGACATGTATCACAAGTGAGAAAACAGCATTTACTAAATGCATTTAGTGTGGAGGCAGACCAAAGACAAATTTCATGTACATGTACATGTACATTTCAAATAACATGTCCTGTATCAAATATCTTGTGTTTGTGTTTGATTCAATTAAGTGTTGTAGATAATTTTTTGGGAAAGAAGTACTGTATGCACACTTAAAAAAAACATATTTATTGTAAATTCCACGGTCCACAGAATACATACAATTATAGGCCTACATTGTACATGGTTATGACACGTACGGTACATTGGTATTTGAAGAGAATCAGAATGCACTTTGCTACATGTATTTTCCTTGTCACTGGCACCTTATTTACAGTAAACAGGGCACTGTCTGGTTCCCTATCTCCCTACTACTGTATTTCAACTGCGCATGCGCACAATGATATGGGTCACAGGTCATTCAGGATATATTCAAACGCTCATCGAAGGTGCATGAACGCCCCAGGAGATGGTCACATGACGCTCGCGCGTTAATTGCGAGCAGACTGGGGGTTCACGTACAAGACGCTTGAGTCGCGTAAGCATTTTTTTCCTGAATGACCTTTGACCTGGACTACATGTACTTCATCGAGAACATTACATACATTGTGTAGCTTGCATACAAGCATCAAATCCCATATTATAGTACAAGCATACGAAAACATGAGCCTATCAAGAATTAAACAGACTGACGTCCATTGCCAATTCACAATTTCAATGCATGTACTTTGCACTTTGGGATGTTGGTGGTGCAATATGATTTGTATGCTTTAGCGTGGCATTTACTGTACAAGTCCTTTGCGAAATGAAAGTTAAAACTACAGTTGTGAAGACAAGAGATAAAAATCAATTGTTAACATCCGGCCAAGTCAACTGTACATATTGGGTTAATGATCACAAATGACTCAGATCTAGGGGCGTCGCTGAAATTGTGTAAATACATACTGTACATGTACATACAGTGCAGTGCAATGGAAACATAACACTGCGAAATGGAATGGGAAAATTTGTGAAAAAAATTCGGATTCGCATTCGCAGTATGATTTCGCATTTTGAGCGTGACTTTTACCCCTTGCGAATTCGCAGTGAGAATGTGCGAATGCAGTGTGAAAACGGCGCGAACGCGGTGCGAAAAATTTGTGAATGCGGACGTTTTGCGAAAACGGTGCGAATATTTTGCGAACGCGTTGCGAAAAAACTGCAAACACGTTGCGAAAAAAACTGCGAACGCGGTCCAAAAAAATTGTGAACGCCGAGGGAAAAATTGGTGAGTACAAAAGCATTGTGCGAAAAATGTGCGAAAATCGTGCCAAAGGGGACGCGAAAACATTGCGAAATCGATGTGATGAAAGTACATGTGCATGTACATGTTCATCCGTTGGCAAAATATGCTGCAATGTAAAGCATATTGTCCGTGTCCAAAATCGTTCCTTTGAACAGTGTAACCAGTAGTCGAAGGGTATCCATGCACTTGAGCGTGACACCACTGCAGTAAAAGCTTCTAATTCTGGCCGCCGGATTCCACTGTACCCACCCTCCCCCTCAAATTTGTTTGGCCACGCCTGTGCTCAGCTTATGTCAGACACTGATTTTCAAAACATACAGGAACAGTTTCAGTTGCCATGGATAAAAGATAAAAACATTATCAGCACGGCCAGTGAACTCACTGAATGCACTTTTCCAATCAATAAACAGGAAGTGAAATTAACAACAGGCCGGCTGACTGACCATGAAGGAATTTTCTCTACATGACATGCAGCTCAGTAAGCAAACAAAACCAGGAAAACATGTAAGTGGGCAGGATTAATCAAAGTCACTTTCATCTGTAATTAGTCTAACACATCGTAGCTTTCTTGCCCGCCTGCATGCATTTGCAATTAGATATCTACCGGTACATGTATCTGGTTAAATTACACACTATGTACAGGTACTGGTACATGAACGTTATAATCCAATGGAAAAGTTAAAGCTATATAGTCCATCATTTGCAGCCATCCGAAAAAGTAACTGGTGTATTATTGTTGAAAAACATACTTGGTTGAAAGATAGTAAGTGGACTAAACTCCCTGTGAAATTAATCTTTCTGGCAAGCTGTCATTTTGAAGTAATCAACAAAATAAGGCCTTTCCAACGGTGCGTCTTAAGACGCACTGTAGGAAAATTTAAAATAGTAGTTCATTTTGTTATTTGACGCAGCGCGCGCAAGCATTGGCACGACGCACAGGCGCGCGCGGTTGCTATAATTCGTCGGATCAGTGCGCGACATCAGGTATACATGTAGCTGCAATTCAAAACATGATTCAGCAACTTTTGATTTGAAATTTGAGATCCTAGAATGCTGTTTTTCTCACAATACAGCTGAAGCTGAGCTGAAACTTCATCAGGATAGTTGTTCAGTATCCTTCATTAGATTGTGAACACTTTTGTTGCTTCAAACGAACAAAATGCACAAATTACAAATGATGGACTAGGGCCTATATCTTTAAATGGAATTGTACCGTATCTCCACTAAGTGCCTATTTTTTTTCTTTTTGAAAACCTTTTAATAGTTCAGTGTATGTACATAGATGCCTAATGTAAACAAGAGTATCAGACATCATTTGCATGCTGTATTTACCCAGTACACTGTTAATGTGGGGTCATGTCAGTAGTCAGGACATTTTCTAAAACTGTAAAGTTTTATGTTAAAGGGAATGTACAACATTTGCTTTTGCTGCAATTTTCAGAAATAAATTAATTTGGGGGATCGGTATGTTATAGCAAATATTGTTAAAATGATTTTTTTTTGTACGTTTTGGGCTTGTAGATGCTGGAAAAAAAAACAAGAAAACCAAATCATGTTCTTGTAGTCTGGTTCCATGACCCCACTTACGATGAAACGGAGCCATTCAAATACTTTGGGAAATTGTAAGATCAGAGAATCATTCTTGCAGGCTTGTACCCTTTTTACAGGTAATTAATCAATTGCAAAGAAAATGCGAAAGAACTAAATATAAAATTTTAGAAGCACTTTTGAAAAAAAGCCAACCAGCTTTGGAAAAATTTTTCTTTTAAAATGTGAGTACACCAGGAGCCACGATTTTACATGCTGCTTTAGACTGTCATTCCCTAACAATCCAGAAAGATATTTCGTGATAATTTGATCATTTCGTTTTTTGATGTTTACAAATGTTGTATCTTCCCTTTAAAGGGAATGTACATCATTGGCTTTTGCTATTATTTTTAAAAATGAACTATTTGAGGGGTTAGTTTGTAATAGATAAAATATTGTTACACTGACATGTTTGAAGTTTTGTGTTCGAAAATGCTGAAAAAGCCAAGAAAAACAAAAACGTTCAAGTAGTCTGGTTCCCTGACTCCACTAAAGATGAAATGGATCAATTTATAGATGCCGGAAAATTGTTAGGTCAGGGAACCAGTCTAGCTGGCCTGCACCCGTTCATGAACATGTAACCAATAGCAAACAAAATTTTGACTGAACAAAATGGTTAATT